GATTTAAAATGAGCCGTTTGATTTTCTGTAATGACATTTATTAGGAGGTGACCTCCACAAAAAATGCAGAAAGAACTATATATTGTATTAAAATAATTAGTTTATGTTAAACTTAGGATGCACTAGTCCAGCTGTTTCAGTTTATATACACATATCAAGGCTGCACAAACCTTTTCCCCAAARTGAAAATCTATCTGAGGRCTGCGGYCAAATTCACTAATATAATTCATGWAATACAAATACTTMTTAAGTATAGTCCTTTTATTTTAATGATTATGTCCTGCTGCAGTGTGACATGATTTGTTTGTGTACAAACTAATATGGTATCAGAATTTTATGTACTTCCCATTCAACCACAATTAAATTCACTCTATAGGAGGTACAATTTGTAAGGATAGTATTTATTTTTTACAATAAAAAGCTGGTATGAAAACAAGTAAAAATAAAATAAAAGWAACGACTTTCTACTTCTTGTMAGGAGTAGAAAGTACAGATAACTGTGTGAAAATGTAAGAAGTAGAAGTAAAAAAGTAGGCTGAAAAATAATTACTCAAGCAAACTACAGATACCCAGAAATTCTACTTAACAAACAACTAACAAAGTATTTGGACAGTTATAATTCATCTACGTTATGGGACAGAGCTGAGGATTCAAAATACAGAAAACTAAACGTCTTTTATTTACAACTAAACAGGATATGATCTATTCACAGTAAAATAACAACAAGAAACAGGAGGCTAAAATACACACACAGTCGGACAACAATCAGAAAGAGACTGAGGGAACCCAGGTAGATTATTTATTTAAAAGTTGGCAATGGATGAAGAACACAAGAGTTCAACAAATCAACAAACAAACAAACAAAAACTTAATCAAGCTTTGATAAACTCAAATTTTTACARCTAAAAGATTTAAAAGCATTTAAATCCATTCAATGATATTGCTTAACAATGTGATTCTGCTTCACCAGAGTCTTTACACGAGCTGGAGGACAATGATTTGGACGCACTCATGGCCGACCTGGTTGCTGACCTCAATGCGACAGAAGAGAAGCTCGCAGCAGAAATACAAGGTCTGGGGGAGCCATGCCCACCCCCACCAGACCTGCCACTTCCACCCAAAGGCAAGAGCACCCACCCGGCCCCCTCCGGTTCATCATCATCCCCCAAAAACAGCAGCAGCAGCAGCAGCAGCAGCAGCAGCAGCAGCAGCAGCAGCAGCAGCAGCACTGTTAGCACCCTAGCTTTATCCACCACCTCCCCTTTGCCACCTCCACCTTCTCAGACAACAGAGCCAACAAAGGTAAATCTACAAAAAAACATGGTTTCACCTCTAGGATTAATAAACTAGTCTAAAGTTTAACAAGTAAGTGTGTTAGGGACTAGGCCGTTTTTTAAAGTTTTGTTGTGAAACTGATGAGTGGTAGCTTTTACAGCAGTTAGAAATGAGATCATGGCAGGATGGAGGAGCTGGTTACAGCCAGAGTACGTGTGAGGTGAAACAGCCGAGGGCCTGTCTGGAACAGATCAAATACCTTTGGCCAGTAGAAAACTGCTGCAGGATCAGTGGGGTGGGACAGACAGACGGGTTCTAGAACTCGTGACCTCATCGTTCCGAGGTAAAAACACCAGCTGTGCTGAGGGAAAGACAGTCATTATTGGAGAGAGAGGCACAAATTATTTTAGAATGTGGGTAGAATTTAAAATATCTTGTGGGCATGAATCACAAAAAATGGTGACCCATTCTTGTTGCAAACAACACATTCCTTTCTTTAAGCAATGATGCCCTGCACTAGTTCCAGTGATATGATTTTGTACCTCTCAGTTGCTTAATCATATAGTCAGTCATTTGAGATTTGGGGAAAACTCAGTATATCATTTACTTAAGTATATATCATATTGTGACCCTTGTGTCGTGATATGCATCATGTCAACAAATTCTTGCCACAACACAGCCTTGTTTTCAACCAGTTTTTCCTCTCAGTCTTCTGTCCCTCTGAAGAACAATTAGCTGTGTTAGCTGAATATAGGGTTTTTATATTGCAGGTTTGTTCGCTAAAAGAGGGAACTTTAGCACAAAGGATTTGAACATAATACAGAGGAACATGTGATATGACTGCTTTTTTTTCTTGTTCTGTAGGAGGAAATTGAGTCACAGCTAAAAGCAGACAAAATTAAACTTGCTCTTGAGAAACTTAAAGAAGCCAAAGTGAAAAAGGTAAGATAACAAGATCTGACTCTGTGCACCGTCCTCTGGTCTGACTGAGCAGCACTAAGAATTGCAGCGACCTAGACGCCACTTTTGTTTTTCTTCCTTTYATTCTTTTTTTTTTTAAGAGAGTAGTCATAAATTCAATAACTCAACTGACAGACTTTTATTTAGAAAAACATCCTGCAGGACATTAATGTTTACTTTCTGGTTGATCTGTGAACATTGTCTCATCTTCAAAGTGACACGAAAGCAAAAACGTGTTTTTCTGTGTGAAGCTTCATGTCAAGGTCTGACATTTAAAAAAACATAAAAAAACATAAAAAATATAATTTTATCGTGAATGATGTGACAGAGTTAAAAAAGCAGTGTGCAAAAGTCTTTAGTCAGTGTGATTGGTTCTCAACTCTTCCAAAGAATCAGAAAATCTTGCAATAATTTTAATGGCACTTTTAAACAGTGTTTATCCAAGCTTTCTTAAAACCATTTTTATTCATTWTATTTAATTTTAGTCTCTTAATACATGACTTTTTCAGGTTTGCACCAGCATCAATGAAATAGTTATTTCCACACAAAATAATTCACTTGTCATGCATGAGTTGTTAGGTTTTTGTTTTGACCAGGATCCTCTCTGGTCATAGAATGACAGGCTTTTATTTTTTGGTGGTTTCTTACTGTGTGGTTTCAGATTTATCATCTAGTTTCTGAGGATGAGAACATGATTTACCGCATACAAATGTTAAGCAAAATGTCTTAAAACAACAAGTTAAAGCTGGAGTCCTTCTTAAGGATGAAGAAGCTTGAGTGAAACTGATCCAGGACTTTAGATTCTGCTGTGACAAGCTCTCAAACCAGCATCTTTTGGGACAAAAGTCAGTAAACGCTGGCACTGCTTTGCTCCAGAGCAAACTAAATCTTAAGAGGACTTCTGACTGAAGACCTAAATATACATGCAGAGAAGAAAAAAAATAGATGACTGTAAACCCTGATCAACCTTGTATTAAAGCTAACATTAGGCAGCAGAAACAATCATTTGGAGAAGAGAACCTGTTATTAAAGTGGCAAACAAGCAGGCAGCATGTGCTGTGTCACTCAGGACTCTTATTGTTGTCCACATGTTGAAAACATGAAGTCCAGTTTACCACAGAGCTGGGTTACAATATACTGATCTATAATGTCTCAGGTACATTGATTTGACCACACACATGCAGTATCTAAGGATTATGAACATTGTAGCTTGTATAATCCCTCTGGTTTTTATTTTCTACTGCAGACAGTAAGTCATGAACAGCAGCTAAGCCAGCTGTTCATATTTAGTACAATCCTAGAACAATGTTCAATTTTATTATACAGGCTTGTGCAATGACAATAAAGACTATTCTATTCTATTCTATTCTATTCTAAACTACAAGTTCATCTAAACATTCTCCCTCAGATTTTGGTTTGTATTGTTAAAAGGGAAACCATTTTAAAAGCCAAATTAAGCAACATTTTCTTCCACAGTTGGTAGTGAAGGTGTTAATGAATGATGGCAGCTCAAAGACTCTGATGGTGGATGAGAGACAGACGGTTCGGGAGGTTCTGGACAACATGTTTGAAAAGACTCACTGCAACTGCAGCGTGGACTGGAGTCTGTGTGAAACAAATCATGAGCTTCAGCTTGGTGAGTTACTACTTAAACAGCGCTTTTATTATGGGATGTTAACCAACACCATTACTGAACTTAAGTTCAGGAAAAATGAAAGTTGAAAAGTGCCCACAATAAACACAGTAAAACAGTAAACTCAGGTTCATTACTTCAATTTATTACTCTAGTTGAAAAAATAACAATCTTCTGAGCAACACATACCATCTTCTTTCTTTTAACTTCATCACATTGTAGATTTTTATAGACCCAGTCTTGTAACACTTTATTACTTCTATCAACAGCAGTTAAGATATATTGTTCATAACCCCGTACTTCAAAAGATTTGGGCCCATATTTATGGAGTGAATTTTTAAACTTAAGTGCTGAAAATTTCTTAGATTTGCTCCTACTCTCAGACTTAAGCGTAAGTGCCAGTTATGAAAGTTCTTAAGTCTAAATCACTCTTACTCTCCAGAAAAGTTCAGACTGCTCCAGAGGACTCTTCAGTGGTTAAGAGTTACCACTAGGGGTCTGAGATGAACTGAGGAGACAGAGATTACAGCTGTCCTCCTCCCCACCTGAGTGTTATTCTCAGTTATAATGTGGAAAACRGGTTTAATCAGAAATATACAATAGAAACAAAGGTAAAAATAAATGAATAAAAAAATAAATTGTGCATAATGTTGGACTAAAAGACGGACATCTGTGTGTGGCTTTTGGAGAAAATATTAAATATACTCAGCTGGTGAGTGCATGCACCCCCCCCC